GAGAGAGAGAGAGAGAGAGAGAGAGAGAGAGAGAGAGAGAGAGAGAGAGAGAGAGAGAGAGAGAGAGAGAGAGAGACGCACACCTGCTGCACGCTCTGATCCACGTTGCTGCGCAACTGCTCTCTGCTCCACGCCACCGCTGGTTGCCAATCGCTACTCCACGCGTTGCTCCTCGTGCTGCTCCACGCATGCACGTCGGGGGACGAGTTCGAAAAATGGCGCGGGGCAAGAACGCCCCCTTCGAAAAATGGCGGCCATGAACCGCCCCCCCTGTGATTGAAAAAAAAAAAAAAAGTAATCGAGTTCACCATACAATTTTCCGCCCCTTCCGGACGGTCAGGAAAGGCCCGAAAAAATAAGGGGCAATTTTTTTTGGGCGGCCCTAGGCGTGAAAAAACGCCCTGGGCCGCCCAAAAAAAATTTTGCCGTTGGCCTGGAGGGCCTCCATCCGGACCGGTTATCGGAAAGTGGTACCGGATACCGGATCCCTTTCCGGGGGTCCGGATCGTAGCCATGCTAATTAGGGATTGACAGGTGTCTGCTGATAACCAAGATGCAGCGATTTACCGGTTACCCTATTTTTAGACCTACCTTGCGGACTTCACCACTGTATGACCCTATATGCCATACCCTGGGTATGGCGAATTACAGTTTTCATTGTAACTGACTCAAAACATCAAATCTGGATGTGCGATTTCCGACACAGATTGAGTATTGAATTGTGATTTACCAGGGACTGGCAGAATTGAATTTTGACGGACGAAATTGAAGTTATGACTGACCTTAGTCTAGCCAAGCTTCAACTATGTTAGCGCAGGATTCAAATTTGCATTATCACTGACAACGGGACCCTGAATTCACCAATTCACTACACAATATAAATCGCAATACTGTAAAACAGTCACAAATGAAATTTGAGTCAGGAAGGAGGTCAAATAGGGTTAGTAGAAGTAAAAAAAGATAGGTAGGGGAAGTTGGATATGGCTGTCCCACAAATCTGAATTTCGATTTTCAACTGTAAACTTACATACAGACCAAATTTCGCTATTCTAAAAATAGCCCCGGAATCGCCACACAGGGTAGAGTAAGGAACGCACTTACTTCAGGGTCAACTCTGAGGAAGATGCATGAAACTCTGGCTATGGCTAACTGGTCAACCCCATCTCGCCAGTTTCATCTCTTGACAGTACCCAGTGTTCCCACGTATCAAATTGCCTGAAACTTGGTGATCCAGTAGATTACCCTGAGGCGCTTCACCCCCAACTGACAGATTCAATGAATTTGGACTCCCAGGTGCCAATAACTGACAAACTCAGTGCAGCTCCACATCACTCTGTACTGCACTGCTTGTAAATTGGGGATCCTGACCCAATTCCAAAATCGCAAGCTCCTGGGATCACTTCCTTGCTAATCTCCAGCCTCCTGATGAATCGCCAGGCTAAAATTAGCCTCCTAGAGCCTCTCAGGCCTCTTAGCACCAATTGCCAACCCTAGTCAGGAGTGAGTCAATCTCTGGCCAATTCTTCTCGCCACACACTCGCCACCACCACCCTTACTGACAACCTCTGAAGATGATGAATCACCATGAAACTCAACTCCAGTATCTCGCCAGGTGATGATGGCTGCTCCAACTCATCAATCGCTCCAATGTCTGGATCCAATCGCTCCGATACCAACTGTTATGATTCTGGTTGTTTGTTGCCTGAGACCAACACTTGCACACATAGACTTCTAGGTATGCCCATACATACACAGAAGGAAGGGGAGAGGATAGGAGTCACACCGCACAGGGAGAGAGAAACACAGCGGAAGACTTGACCATGCGATATGATAGGGTACACTGAAAGTGCAATTCACTCCACTCAATCCTCACAACCAGTCATAAAGAAAAGCCGAGTAGATCACATCCAGGAAACGATGAAACGATGATAGTCCAAACCCAGTATTACACTGTTTATTAAACTCAGAGTCTCGAATTAGCAGGATAACCTCAGTACTACTGTGCGCTGCTTGGAAATGAGCAGCGCTTCACTCCCCAACCTCGAGTAACCACCCGTGACACCCCTGAGCCCCTGAAACATCAAGCGCCACCCAGATACAACCTCCACAGGGAAGCGCCACCTTGAAACAGGCCTCTGAGGCCAAGCGCCACTCAAAGGATGAAG